CATCCTACACCATCTGGATGCCGGAGAGACGTATACTTACCTCGGGGTGGAACAACGCCACTCACAAGAGGTAACAGCAGTAAAAAACTCTCTCCGCGGCAAGTATCAGCCCAAACTTCGACAGATCTGGTCATCGGAATTGTCGGGGCAGAACAAAGTTGCTGCAACAAATATGCTTGCCGTTCCAATTTTACTCTACTCGTTTGGAGTAGTGAAGTGGACTCGGGAGAAGCTGTATCAACTCAACGTAAAGATGCATCTCTATAGGAGTTTGCATCTCAAATCCTCCGTTCCATGGTTGTACTTCCCCCGACAACAGGGAGGCTGTGGACTTTTGAGTTTGTAGTGTCTACATGACAGAATGGTACTGGATACAGCCTGTAAAGTTGTCAGGAGTTCGGATCCCCTTCTCTGCGTGGTCCGCGACCATGAGAGAGCAGGAATTGGAGCATTTCTCTTTAGGGCAGCTGCCCGAGCTGCTGATGAACTCGGTATAGTTTTCGACACTGGTGGAATGATGTCCTCTCTACTCTCGAATCTAAAAATCATACCGGCTTGCCGCACTAAGGCAAAACACTTGTCCGCACAGATGCAGAAGGCTGTCATTCTTGGCTCACTGCGTTTGCTCAGGGAACATGATTCTCGGACCCAATGATCACTTACTCCACGGTGTGGGGAGTGGTCATCGGTTGATAATGCTGGCGCGCCCTCCCGAATGTATCGGAGCTTCGGGAGATAGGGCCTGACCAGTGCACACCACGGTAAAAAAAATACTAATAATAATATCGTCAAAAAAAAGGAGGAAAAACGGATAAAATATGGAGATTTTCTCTTCGAACTCCGCAGAGTTTATCCAGATCACTCTGTCAAGATGGTTGTTCTGATTATTGGAGTCCTATGATGTCATCTCTACTCTCGAATCTCAAAATCATACCGGCTTGCCGTACTAAGGCAGAAATCTTAGCCGCACAGACGCAGAAGGCTGTCATTCTTGGCTCACTGCGCTTGCTCAGGGCACATGATTCTCGGACCAAAATGATCACTTACCCCACGGTGTGGTGAGTGGTCATTGGTTGATAATGCTGGCGCGCCCTTCCGAATGTATCGGGGCTTCGGGGGATAGGGCCTGACTAGCGCACACTAATAAATCAAGTATCGTTCATGTAGAGAGGCTGTCCGAAAATCAAGGTATAGAGCTCATAACCTTCAAGAATAACTGACGTATTCAGTCTAGAAAAGCACTGATAGTTATTGATTGTTATTGAATACTGGAATGTTTCAATGAGTTACCAAAACTTCAGATTCAGATCAAGCATTAGTCAAACAAAGAATGTAAGTGTCCTACATATCAATATACAGTGTATTTCAAATAAGATTGACCATCTGTCATTATTTCTTGAGGATGAAAGCTACACCATACTATGTATTTCCGAACATTGGCTTGATCAAGCACAAATTCAGACAGTAAATATAAAAGGATATGAGCTAGCCTCTTTTTTCTGTAGAGATATGAACAGGCACGGAGGAGTTGCCATTTTTATAAAAAATAATTTTAATATTAAATACATCGAGGTGAACGA